CATGGTGCACTCAGAAGAGAGAGAGACTACAATCTTATTACACCACCTAAGTTTAAATATCATAAACTCTCTATAGATTGGAGTTTCTGTATGATACACACATGAGAACCCTTGTGTAACACCAATAAATTGTGTATGTGGAAAACGTATCATACCATCTAAAATTCATTGAGAGGAAATTGTTTAACAAATATTTTCAACCTATTAACATAGGCCATCTTCAATCTTTGCAGCCAGGTTAATCATGAATATAAACCATTCTTTTTCATTCTCCATTCTATGTGAGTTCAATCTTATTTTTTCAGATTAGATTGATGAATAAAGCAATGCAACACCTGGGCAATCTGTTGGGATGCCTTCCAGGAGGCATTCCAGGGGAATTAGTCCCATTAGATACATGAAGAAAACTTAGAAAAGTTCATGTGGTCAGGTATGAATTCATGACCAAGTACCAATTGCATGCCAACTTGCTTTATTTTTTTGTTCAGCATCAATACAGTCAATCCCCCTATAAGACGGTAGATACGTTCCATTCTTTATGAATCAATTTTGTAGGAATCGCAGCCTGACACGTGTGAAGTTTACGGACTATGGCTGTTTGAAAGGTTTTCTTCCATAAAATTAATCGATTCTAGACTAATTCAACTCAACATTTCCAAAATACGTATATTTTTTTTTGGAAATAATCCGTATAAACTACGCTATAAACAAAAAAATTATAGGATTACTTACCGAGTGTGCACCATTCAACATCGCCGTTGCTCAAGCTTATTTTCGTCAGCGCAGCAAACCGCGACTGCAATTTCTGATGTTATTTTTCTGCGAAAACTTCGTTGAACTTTGGAGATATCATTAATATAAATAATTTTAATCGCTGTTGAATAAGAAATGTTTCTTTCACAAGAAATCTATAAAATTACAGTGCTGTATTAGAGTTACGGTACCTAATTTACATACTGTACAGACGATAGCTCGCCTAAACTGTCCGTAGCATGGCGCTAGACGGCAGAAAGTATATATATAATTATAATAAAGTTACAATAAATTAAGTTAATATATAATTATATATACAGTATCTAATTTATATATAATTATATGTACAGACGATACTAAACTCAATTTACTCGCCTAAACTGTCTATAGCATGGTGCTGGACGGCAGAAAGTAGTTAGGCTGCCCAATGACGTTTTACGTAATTATAGGAGTTCTTTTACCGTCGTTTACGGATACCGCCACAATTTTTTTGCCATCTTGTAGGAATTGTGATTATAGGAACCCGTCTTATAGGGGGATCTACTGTAGTTAAATGATAGCTTCCCAGGCATTGTTGTCATAAAGGAATTAATATTTTAATATAAAAAAATGATAATTAATTTTTATTTGAATTTTTTTTTTTTTTTTTTAAAATGAATGACTGATTGGCACTATGTTGAAGAATAAGCATGTGCTTCCAAAATAAACTGTTCAGTGTTGACAGTACTTAATAGTGATAGTGCTGCAGAATCATTTTGAGAACTTTATGAATTTTTTATGTTCAACTATAACAAGTTTAAATTTTTTGTTATGGCTATGAATTAATAAAATTATAACTCAATAATGAAGTTTAAAAGGGAAAGTTTCTAAGATTGCATTACTCTAAAAAGATAGAATGATGGTGCTGCCTCTAGTGGAGACAAAGAGAAATGAATGTTGTTGTTTTTGCAAATAAATTAATAAAAAGTAAGGGTTAAAGCTAGAATCCTAAATCTTATGCTTTAAAGCAGTGATTTTCAACTGGTGTGCCATAAGGGGATCATAGGTGTGCCACAAAAATTTTTGAAGGTTATTAAATATATTATTTTCGAAAGAAAAATAAGTATACATGTCAAAATTAAAACCCCTTTAAATTGATTATACAAGTTTTTCATTGTTATAATAAATATATATATATATATAATGTAGTAAAAAATATATTCATGAGCAAAATTATATGTGTACAACACTGGGTTATTTCATTTAAAATGAAATTTTCTTTAAATCAAAAATGTATCTATAATTGTTCATATTTAGTTCAAATTACTTTAACTTAGAAACAGTGGTACATTGGGTGGTTTCTAAAGGCAATTATCAGGCTGCTTTTAAATGCAAATTAAGACTTAATATTAATTGATTTTCTTATGTAAAGGAAAATTATTAATTTAAATAACTATTGTTATAATTTTCTGCTATTTTAAGGAACAACAATACTGTTTTATTTAATTCACAAAAAATATAGACAAAACGAATTAGGTTAAGTAGCAAGTAATATGACGATNAACTCATGATTTATACTAACCTATGTTTGATTAGGCATGACTTAAAATGGTTTAAAAAAGGTGAAGTTTTGTTTTACTTGATAGTTTTAGTTTAACACATTATTTTAAAATATTTTTCAGCATTTTATTTTTAAATTACATATTTTCATTGATAAAATTAATGTTTAAGCCTACGCTAACTATTAAGTTGTTGAAATTGTATCAACAACTTAATAGTTAGTTGTTTCCAGCAACTAACTATTTTGTGTTGAACATCAAAAACTTAAGTTGTTGATATTCAAAACATCAACAACTTAAGTTTTTGATGTTCAAAGCTGGAAATTCTCTGTTTTATACTGTATTCATTGTATAGTTACTAGTACACTGTAGAGAAAAAAAAATTTTAAAATAGAATTGAGAAATTGTTGTATTACTAATTTCATATCACTCTGATGATAGTCATGATCTCATGAGCATAGAGAGAAAGAAAACAGTTGTGTAGAAGAGAATTTTTATATTAATATGATTAATATAAAAAATCATTTTAATTTCACTATTGCTTACAATCCAAACAACTTTATTCTGATTAATAACATATCTGAATATATTTTGTTTTTGCAAAAATGAAAATGGAGAAGGCTATAGGATCAACTGAATTTCCATAGAAGTATGGAAATGTCTAAAGAATGATGGTATAATATGGATTACAGTGTTTTTCAATAAAATAATGAAAAAACATAAGACCTCAGAAGAATGAAGGAAAAACTACATAGTATACAAAAACAAGGGAAATATTCAATAATGGAGAAACTATATAGAGAAAGCTTGAGAGTCCTTCCTTAAAGCTACATGAGGGACTCATTGAGGAAGGTTAAGAGAAGAGAGATGATGGAAAATTTGGATTCAAGCCAGAAAGATTAACCATGGATATTATCTTTGCTCTGAGAATGCTAATGGAATATTTGAAGTTAAAGTTGGATTTCTTCAAGGATCTGCACTTAATTTTTTTCTTTTTATAATAATTACAAATGAACCATTAAAAAAACCAGGAAAATGTATGGTGGAATATGCCATTTGCAGATAATTTATTTCTAGTAAGTGATAGGCCAGAAAGATTTCAAGAAAGCCTAAATGTATACAAAGAAGCTCTAGAAAGAAATGGACTGAGAGTAAGCAGAGCAAAGAATATTTACATGGCTCCAAAGTTATGGTTGGGCCAAAATGAAATAATATAAATGAAAAAGTTTGAATATTTAGGATCAGTGATGTAAGAAAGTAAACAAATAAATGAGATGTGACTAGTAGAATAAATGTGGTAGGATAAAATGGCAATAGATGTAGTGTGTGGTCAAAAAAGCAACTTTGCCTGAAAAAAAATGTACAAAATGGTTATGCAACCCAACCATGCTCTACAGTTTCAATCAACTTGGCAACAAAGAAGAAAAATTATATATAGCTGATCTTTTCACTGAATATGTGGAATGATTAAGAAAAGGACAAAATAAAAAAATGTAGTTAGGCAATGCACAAAAGTAATAGAAAAGCTCAAAGAAGAGAGGTGGCTGTGATTTGGACGTATCATGAGAAGATGAGAAATGTGTGCCAAATAGATGGAGCACAAGTGAGGAGGAAGATCAAAGAAGAAATGGAGGCAATGTATTAATTAAAGAAGATATGAATAATGTGACAGTTCATGTAGCAATAGAATAGAAAAGCTGGAGAAGATCAATTGGAAAAGCCAACTCTTTCTAATAGGGAAAAGGCAAAAAGAAGTTTGTTTTAGTAACCATCTTATAGAATGATTTTTTGTTTTGTTTTTTTTTTCCTTTGTCTTTAGCTTTTCTTGTGTCCTATATGAAGTTGCTGTTTCTTGTCAACTGTCACTGTTGTTTTGTTTTATTTACCTGATCTCTAGTCAATCCCTTTTCTTTCAAATCAGCTATAGATCAATATTCAGATCATCCTTCTGTTTTTTATATATAATGTTATGTAGTTTTGTTAAATATTTTAATTCAGCATTTTTAATTTTTAAATTAATGAATCTGTTAAAATTATGGATTAATTTCTATTGTCTAAACTTTCTAAGTGTNAAGATGTCTTTTTATTAGGTTTTTTTTCAGTTGTCACCACATCCAGTCTCCTTTACTAAGTTGATTTGTTACCTTGTTTATATGTCTCCTATTCTGTATTAGAAGCATTATCATCTTTGTGAAACTTATGCATATCATTAAGGTAAATAGTAGGTGACTACAAATTGCACTTGCATATCATTTAGCAATATGATGTGATATTACTGTTACAAACTTCTGAGAATATATATATTTAAAAGTTTATGGAAGATTTAAAAAAGAAGAGATTAGAGAAATATGCATTTTCTGTTAATTACACTTATATTTTTAATGATAGAATTACAAACAAATATAATAAACAGTAATATATAAATAAAAAAATTATAAATTTTATAATAATTGTTAAAATATGATTTATTTTAAAGATGTTTTTTAGAAGATATCTAACATCATTATTACACATGTATTAAATGTTAAAGATTACATTAAAGGTATTTAACATTATTTTTGTGTATATATTAGGAAAGTGTATAATTTTACTCATCTTTATTATTGATTAAATTGTCTCAAGTTTTCAAAATAGTTTAATAAAAGTTAGAGAATTTAAAACATTTAGAAATCTGTTAAGGGAAGATGCTTTTTAAATTTTAATATTTAGATTGCACATCAACATTAAAAAATCCTGCAAGCTAAAAATTAAATAATGCCTGTTGCACCTTCAGCCAATCAGAAAGATGGGACCATGACAAGGTACCCCACTCTTTTGTCCAAACAAGGACGGCATAGTCCTCGTAGTCCTTCACTCCATTCTCCAGGAGCAAATCATGTATATTCAGCAGATCCTCAAGCTTGTTTACAGGTATTTTTTTACTTTCCTTATTTATATTTACATATTGGTATTTGGAAATTTTTATTAAAAATAATTTAAGCATCATAAATTTTTATTGTAATATGTATTTTATATCTTTTTAAAATACTTTGTTGATAAATGTTTTGCCTATAGTGAAATATATGATTATCTATAATGATAAAATTACAATCTAAGCTAAATTGAATGTGTATTTTCTAGACTTTTAATCTTTTGAACCATGAACTTATAATAGAGAGAGTAAGTTTCATCTTAATAATAAGTATTACTATATTAATGAGATTTATATATTTTTATGTATCAATCTTATTGTGTAGTAAAATTAAGATATGAGAATTTGGTAATATAGTTTACTTTTTATAGATGCTGTAACTGCATAGTTGATGAATTATGTTCCATGTTTGCATATACATTGTACAAATGTATATAAAGGTTATATATTTGTATTACATTTATTATTAAAACAAATTAATTTCATAGTTTTTGCTTTCAAATTAAAAACATTGTTTTTCTCAGCATTTAATAATTTATTATTGTATAATACAATATACCAGACAAATATATTTTTTATTTGTTATTTTTTGGCAAATTTAAGCTTTATCCAAGAACTTCCCAACAAAGTTGTTTATGGAGGTTGATATCAATATATTTGTAATGTTTAACATGCAAGAACTTGCACAATTTTTTTTTCATACTGCACAGAATGTTCCAATTACTGCTGGGATAATGTTGCATCATTTGTCTTATAACAATATCATTTCTGTTTGTCTGTGAAATTCATAACTTTTTTCATTTCTTTTTTTTTTTATTCAACTATCCATATATTCTTATATTAATAGATAAATCTCTAGCATTGTTTATTATAAATGCTGTAGATAAAAATAATCCTCAACAACTGGTTAGATATTCAAAATTCACACTCCCAACACTAAAATCCAACAAAATGTAGAAATTTTACAATAAACTAACATTTTCATCTTTATATAATGACTATCTTCAGGTTTAATTCCTTACAATAGAACAGTAAAGTTAAATTAAACATTGTTTTATTCTATGGAATTAAACCTGAAAATGTCCTTATATATGGATGAAAATATTAGTGTACAGTAAACTTTTATACATTTTGCTGGATTTTGATGTTAATTTTGAATGTTATGGATGATGATTTGGAAATATAAACTTGACTTTTATGCTGTATATCACAGTTGTTAAGGGTTTTATGCTTTTCTCTTTGCATAATCAAAATTGCTATAATTGGAAATTTTCTGAATTTGATTTGTAAGATATCCACAAAGCTTGCTGTTAGTCAGCTAAGATCAGCCCTCTTGTTTTTTTTTTTTTTTTTTTTGATAGTTTTTGTTAGTAGCCATTACAGTTTTTGGTCTTATGCACTTTATTTTCAATTTATTTCAAATATTGTCCATGAAATGACCACTATTAAAAAGAAATTGAAAATAAATTAGATTAAGACTAAAATTTAAGATCATCTCCAAATTTTTAGTTAATATTGTAGACTATACAGTAATCAGTTTATACCTGACTATTGGAGAAATTTTACAAATCATTGTCATAGCATTTTGCATGATCTTGTCTTTGGTGTTGAGTCAGAACACTTATCTTGATTCAGGCAATTATGCCATAAAACCTTGAACTCAAAGTTATCATCCATGCAGATCTCCATAAGTGTTATTTCTCATTACATAATAATATCATCGAAGATGTCTTTTTATTAGGTTTTTTTTCAGTTGTCACCACATCCAGTCTCCTTTACTAAGTTGATTTGTTACCTTGTTTATATGTCTCCTATTCTGTATTAGAAGCATTATCATCTTTGTGAAACTTATGCATATCATTAAGGTAAATAGTAGGTGACTACAAATTGCACTTGCATATCATTTAGCAATATGATGTGATATTACTGTTACAAACTTCTGAGAATATATATATTTAAAAGTTTATGGAAGATTTAAAAAAGAAGAGATTAGAGAAATATGCATTTTCTGTTAATTACACTTATATTTTTAATGATAGAATTACAAACAAATATAATAAACAGTAATATATAAATAAAAAAATTATAAATTTTATAATAATTGTTAAAATATGATTTATTTTAAAGATGTTTTTTAGAAGATATCTAACATCATTATTACACATGTATTAAATGTTAAAGATTACATTAAAGGTATTTAACATTATTTTTGTGTATATATTAGGAAAGTGTATAATTTTACTCATCTTTATTATTGATTAAATTGTCTCAAGTTTTCAAAATAGTTTAATAAAAGTTAGAGAATTTAAAACATTTAGAAATCTGTTAAGGGAAGATGATATTTATCAGATTTATTTTTTAAAAAAAGTAAAATGACATTCATTCCTCAATCTGTGTGATTTATTCATTTATAGCACACTGTTTTTAAATAACTGCACTGGTATGGAAGGCTATTATACCATATCTTGTATTTTTTAATTTTGTTTGAAATTATTAGATGGTATTCTGAAATAAGAAAAATGTCAAAGAAAAATTGTTTAATGCATTTTATTTTAGAATTTAAATAGCAATATATATTAATTAATAACTGAAAAAGATTTTCCATAATTTTTAAAATATGTAACTTGAAAGAGTGAATTTATTAATCATTAAGTTTTCGGAGCATTCAGTTAATGCCTATTGTAGGCCATATAATTTTTTAAATTTAATATCATTTTCACAAAGTCTACTTCTAGAAAAATTTAGTTTCAAAATGAAAATTATTGATTTTTTTTATAATCAGTCTCTATGATAGTAATATTGCTGAATGATCTGTGGCAAATTAATTTATGTTAACAGAAAAAAAAATAATGTAAAAGGTATTCCATATTTTTGCTCTGTATTGAACAAGATTTAAAAAAAATATATATGTATTACTTCTTACAATCTTCATATGGTTTTTATACAAATCAGATATCTATTTCCCATATTTTTACTGACTTGAATTTTTGTTTATTTTGTTGTGGTGATGTTATTGAACTTTTCAGTTTCGTTTGGCTTTATTTCTATAAATAAAGAAAAAAAATTAACTCAATATGAATAATAATCAAAAGCTTTTCCAACTTTGAGTTAACTTTCATTCACATTAAATTTAGTTATTTAAATTTGGACAATAACAACATTAATTCAATATTTGTTTCTTTCTCTGATTTATTGTATAAAAATTTATATATTTCTTTCAGAAATAATTCTGAGCTTGTTTTTATAAGTCATTTTTCCAGACTTTTCAAAAGTCTGGAAAAATTTAACAAATGTTATTTGTTTTTTGATATCATTAATTGTTGCAGGATAGAAGCTACAATTGAAAAGCAGAACAGAAACAGAAATAAATTTTTTAATCTTTTCATTTGAGTTTCTGAAAATTTAAAGCATAAAAACAAAGTTGAATCTTTTATTTAATTTATATTTTCAGGTAATGTGGAATCCAGGTCTAACAGTAATACACACCAAAAGTATACATTATTCATGTTTGAGACTATACAGATCACTTATTATCTGCATAGGAAGGTTCATAGATTGATAGGAACTTTTATTTTACCATCATTTTTTTTATTTAATTAGTAATTAGTATTTTTTTAGTATACAATTTAATTAGTAGTTTTTTGATTGATTAGTAATATCAGTACTTAAGTTGATGAGGGCAAGAAGACTGGGTTGTAGTCCTGGGGTCTAGACTTCTATAGGCTTGTACAAAAAAATTTTAAATCTTAGAAAATCAATTTATGTAATTTCATGTGCATAAAGGGAGAAAAAAGAATTGTAATAAACTGAAAGCATCGTTAGAAGAAGAGATAAAGGGACTAGGGTTTTTAGGCTCAGGATTGCTTTCTATGACCTTTGTAATACTTAATATATTGTTGAATATTAATGTAAGAAAATACGTTTTAGTTAACAATAATTATGGCAAACTTCTTGATAATGCCATAAAAATAAAAAGAAATTAACTGTAAAATGAAACAATTACTGATTTGTATAGTAACTTTCCAAGCAGATTATCATCTATATAAGTATCAAGCAGGAATAAGTTATTCTTATAGGTATTTAAATATTTGTTTTTTCATTAACTATAAAAATGATGAATAATTTTTTAATTGAGAAATCAGTTTCATTAATTATAATTGTAAAGTTAATTAATTTTATAAAATTATTTTTTATCAGTTACATCTTTTACCAGGAAATTTAAAGTGTGTTGGGACTTCTAGTCTGTTGTGAGTAATTATCAGTTAAAATTTTTGATGTCACATATGACTTCTCATTATTACGAAATAGGTTGACCTTCATGTGCAATTTCTCATTACTACTATAACTAGAAGTTTCATTTGAGCAAGTTGTTAGTATGTTGAGCACCTCACCTGTAAGTATTTTCATAGAATATATTTAGGTAATCTCTGCCTGTTAAAGAACATAATAAATTTTCAAGCCCAAGAAAAATTTGAAAAAGCAATGAATAATGAACATTAAATTCTTAACTGGTACTAAAATATTAAATCACTTTTACTGCAATAAAAATTTTAAAGAAAAGAAATATTCTTACTTTGATAGCTGCCATCCAGTTAATATAATACATGAAAACATTCTTTAAAACAAAACAATACAAATTTTAAAATAAAATTATTAAATATTGTTATTATTTTAATCATTTTCATAAAAGCAAAATTTCAAATACTACATTCATAAGTTCTATCTGTGTGTGTATGTATTGTATATATAAATAAATATATATATATATACACACACACGTGATAATATAGAAGACAGAGACAAAATATATATTATCTAACAAATGGAATAAACAACTCTTAATCTAGGTTTTTACAAACAGCTAAGAATTTTGCAAAGGTATTGAAAATTTAGATTTTCATAATTATTTTTAATTATATGATAAACTCTGTAAATAAAATAAACATTGACTGCTGAAGCATTAAATTTATTTTGAGGATTTATCAGAAAATAAATTAAA